ATTTGGGATGGATTTGGGGTATTTGGGATGGATTTGGGACATTTGGGATGGATTTGGGATGGATTTGGGACGGATTTGGGACGGATTTGGGACGGATTTGGGACGGATTTGGGACATTTGGGATGGATTTGGGATGGATTTGGGATGGATTTAGGATGTTTGGGATGGATTTGGGATGGATTTGGGATGGATTTGGGACATTTGGGACATTTGGGATGGATTTGGGACGGATTTGGGATATTCAGGATGGATTTGGGACAATCCAGGAGTTTCCCGACTCCACATTCCCCACTGGGAACAACCAGTTCTGCCCGTGCAACACCCCCAGCCCTAATTAACCCTGATCGTTCCTCATTAACCCTCATTAACCCTCATTAACCCTCCTGCTAACGACCCTGGCAGCCGCACCAGCATTCCCAACCCCTCCAAATCCCGGGATCAGCCCCAGCTGGAATTTGACTCCTCAAAAATAAACCCCAAATTTCCTCATTTCCCTCCTTTTGGACGATCCCAAAATTCGGGATTTGGGGTCGGATCCCGGATTTTCCTCCTGGAATCCCTCCGGGAGCTTCCCCTGGGACACGGGAATGCAAAAATTCCCGGCTCCAGATCCCGGTTTTCCCAAATTTCTTGGGATTGCCAAAAAATACCTTGGGATTATCCCAAAAATTCCTCAGGATTCTCCCAAAAGTTTCTCAGAATTCTCCCAAAAAATTCCTTGGGATTATCCCAAAATTTTTTAGGATTCCCCTCAAAATTCCTCAGGATTCTCCCAAAATTCCATGGAATTGCCTCCCAAATTCCTTTTGATTCTCCCAAGATTCCTCGGGATTCTCCCCAAATTTCCCAGGAATCTCCTGGAATTCCCAGATTTTCTCATTTCCCAGGAATCTCCTGGAATTCCCAGATTTTCTCATTTCCCAGGAATCTCCAGGAATTCCCGATTTTTCTCTGATTTCCCGGGAATCTCCTGGAATTCCCAGTTTTTCTGATTTTCTGGGAATCTCCCAGAATTCCTGATTTTTTTCTGATTTCCCAGGAATCTCCAGGAATTCCCGATTTTTCTCTGATTTCCATGGAATCTCAGAATTCCCAGCTCTTCCCCAGTTTTCCGGGAATCTCCCGGAATTCCCAATTTTTCTCTGATTTCCTGGGAATCTCCAGGAATTCCCGATTTTTCTCTGATTTCCCAGGAATCTCCAGGAATTCACAGATTTTCTCATTTCCCAGGAATCTCCTGGAATTCCCGATTTTTTCTCTGATTTCCCAGGAATCTCCTGGAATTCCCGATTTTTCTCTGATTTCCCAGGAATCTCAGAATTCCCGATTTTTCTCTGATTTCCCAGGAATCTCCAGGAATTCCCGATTTTTCTCTGATTTCCCGGGAATCTCAGAATTCCCGATTTTTCTCTGATTTCCCGGGAATCTCAGAATTCCCGATTTTCCTCTGATTTCCCGGGAATCTCAGAATCCCCAGCTCCTCCCAAGGCGAATCCCGGCCACACAAACCCGGCAGGGGCAGCTCCGGAGCCGGGAATTCCAACCAAACCTCGGGAATCCCGGGAATTCCCCATCCCCGCCCTGGATCCCTTCCCATTCCCACGGAAAAGGAGGAAATCCCGGGAAAAGGGAAGGAATTCCCACGGGAAAAAGGGATCCTGGATTTACCTCCCGCAGCAGAATTCCTCCGGGAAGGGGCGGCCACGGCCTCGCTCCGTGCACGGAATTCCTCCCAAAATCCCATTTTTCCCTCTCCTGGCGAGCTCCTGCTGGGATCTGATCCCGGAAAAAGGAAAAAAACGGGAAAATGAAGATCCAGCCCGGCCGGAATTCCCTGGAGAATCAAATTCCTGAAGTTGGGGTGAGATTCCGAATGGAGAATTCCCAGAAATCCTGCACGCTCCGCGGGGGGGTTTGGGGAATTCCATGGGAATTCCAGGCCTGGAAATTTGGGAATTCTGGCCTGGAAATTTGGGAATTC